GACGTTATACAACTATTTTCACAGGATCTCCATGACAAACAAACTAAACTGTATGTGTAAAATCAGTGGAGTGCCCCTTCAAAGTAGAACAATGACAAAGATTAGTCAGACAGAAACATAGTTTTGTGAGTTTTGTTGTCAATTGTTCAATTGTACAAACTGTTGCTCTACATCAAAGTCCGTTTCAAAGCTGCAGTGTAAATGCAGGCCACGTGCGGTGCGGTATTAAGCCATCCTGCTGAGAACACTTTGCGCATGAGAACCAGATTTGTCTCAACACCAGTAGCGGGTCACAGCAGGTCACAGAGGAGATAATAGTGATCAGAGAATAATCTTCTCCATTAATGTTTGCTCTCCCTTTGACCTCTGAGTGCCTCACTGTGAAGGGTAAAGTCTTTACAGAGAAGAGCAAAGGGCCGATATGATGTGAAGGTGAAACACACACACACACACACACACACACACTTCATACACGCACAATGGTTGCAACTGAGGTTCCCCTGTTAACAGCTGCAGCTGTGACCACATGATTACCTGTCTTTCCACCTTAGATTTTTAATGTCCAACCCACCACACACACAGACACACACACAGACACACACACACACACACTATGGACAAGAGCTCCAGGAGCACCAGGGGAGAGAAAGGGGAGTGCAAACAAACTCTCCCCAGGTCCGGGGCTCCGGTTTCAGCCTTCCGTCCGCCGTGGCTGGGGGGCCATGGGAACACGAAGCGCTAGGGGCCCTGTGTCAATAAGGAGCAGTGGTCCAACACAATGGGGGCCTGCCTGCAGACAACACCGCTGACAGACACCCACACAAAAGGGCCTGTGAATGGGAAGGAGGCTCATGCACAGACACATGCACGTAAACACACACTCACACATACACAGAAAAGAATAGAGCAGTGTGTGGTTGCCCACAAGGCCAATGTTTGATGACTGCTTCTGTGTGTGCACGCTCAAACACACAGCAGTGCTCATGCCCACGAGGAAATAAACACACTATAATAAACTGAGGTCTGTACACAGTTTAGACTTACAGCACAGCATGTACCACAGAAAATCAGTGTGACAAACACACATCAGTAAATTGTACTTTTACTGCATTCTTTGCATTTGTTTCAGTCTGTTTTCAGTCTAAGAGGCAAATTGGTGGAATTCACAGCAGTCAGCCGTTTAGATAATATCAGATAAATTGTCACAGAAAATTTTAACATCAGATATATTAATCTGTGAACCAGCGTATGGTGCCGTTTGACAAACCTGCATGTTGAAGTGCCCAAGTTTTTAATCTGCTTTGCATGCATGCTACAGAATAGGAAGATTTAATCTGTTAACATGGATTTTATGCCATAAATGTGTTTGCACGACTACCTGAGAAGCACAAAAGGTTTTGCTGTACGTCTCGAATGTCTGAATACAAGGATGAAAGGCAAATGTTAGGCATTTTTTTCATTAAACCAAGTCTTATATGCCGGCTTATGTCACATTTGGTTGTCTATACATATGCACATCACATTAAACTACTCACCAACGAATACGATTTAACCTATAAGCCAGGATCAAATCACTGCTTGTATTTAAGGATCAACGCCTTTAAAACAAATAACATACAACTGATGCTAGCATCCACTGGCAAACATTGCTCCAAATTTGTACATTAGAATCACTGCACCATTACCACCTCAGGCAAACACACGGTCACCATACGTACCTCCCTAGTGTTAGGAGGCCCATATTTCATCCAACATATCAATCAATTCTTCCATCAGTGGGCTCACTAAATAACTGGGGCAGGGCAGGAGCTGTTGCAGGGAGAAATGTAAAGAGAAGTGCTGCCACCTGGTGTCGGCTGACACAAAAAGCCAAATTAAGTTTTAATGTTGGAGTTGACAGCAGATGGCAGCACTTTGGCTTTCAGGGTGAGTTTGTGGTCTTTTTAAACCACTCACCCATCTATCCTGTGATAACAGAATCCAGAAATCAACAGAAATCACATTTAGGATTATGTCGAGAGAAAATCACATTTAACACGATTAAACTGATAAAACTAAGAAACATCAGAGGTTGTTGGAGGGGAAGTGACAGCTCACCACCAGTCTGTTTTCTTCCTCCAAAGGTTTATTTGTAGATGTGTGTAAATCTGACAAACCACTAATTACATTGTAAATTGCCCTGATTTGAAGCTGTGCAGCTGTCAGAAAATCTCTGAAAATATCATCTCATCACCAGGAACTGACTGTCTGCTGTATGTCACCCTGTTGTTATCCTTTAACCACAGGTGTGTCAGTATGAACTATGCCACTGTGCAAACTGTTGGTTTAGCCGTATCGGCAGTTAGCGGACACTCTCACAGTTTCAGACCATACACAACACAGAGCAATACCCACATCATTTATAGTGTGCAGCACTCTGAGAGTTGTCTCGGTTGTCCACGTCTCCCTCTGACCAAACCCTCAAATACAGTCTACTTGCACATTTCCTACAGCACGAGCAGCCTGCTGTCCCTCTGTGTCTGCTCCATGTTTCACTAAAGTAAAACTTCACCCTCTGTAGTTTTCCCTACAATCTGAGTAAGAACATGTTACTAATTGTTACTTTTATCGCAATAGAAAACTGTAGCGCTGAAATGTATATTGAAAGGTTCTGACAGTTGGATCAAATATTTTGCATGTGAGGATTTACATAAATAAGAGTGATAAACACATCAGGCCATAATACAGATCAGCTTAAAAGAGTGTAAGCCATCTAGTCAACTCAACTTCAACCCAGTGCATCCTTTGGTCAACTGTTGTTTACCTGAAAAAAGTAGGTCATAGTCTCTTTGGGGATTTTAGAAAATAAAATGTTTGGGACTTTGTGTCTGTTTGAGAAAAATGAACAAAAATGTCCATTACAGAGACCAGTTTGTTTTGACCATCAGAAAAGCAAAGGGCTCACTGCGGGACAATAAGTGGACAAAAAGGTTAAAGCAATATCAAAGTTTTATTCTTAAAATGTAGTATAGAGAGGAACAGTAGTACAATTCAGACAGAAAAAAGGAGAATGTAGTTCCATCTTTGAAAACCTTTGATAAAAACGTAAAAAGAGTAACCTGAATTTGCTTTGTGTTCGGTGGGCACTGAGGCGCGGCCCGAGTTTTGCATCACTGTTAAAGTTCGAGAGAAATTGAAAAATACAACCCTTTGCAACAGCGTAAAAAAATACAGCTGGGGAAAAAAAACCTCTGCTTTACATCTGTAGTGTTTTTGCTTTGTTTTTTCGTGTTTGTTTTTTTTGTCCATATAACAAATACAGCATAAAATCTAAAATGATACATCATAGTTTTTGAGTTTTCATTCATTACAGTAAAATCAGTAGGATGGTAAATAGTATCAAAAGAACAAACAAGACAACAGGATGGTGTGATGAACAAGCACACAGCGTGAACAGAGAGAAAGCGGAAGGTTAAAGTTCACGGAAATAAACCACCACGCCAGGAGGTCTGTAGCTGACTGTCAATGTATTCCATTACGCAAACCAACTAGTTAAATAATATATTCTTCATATATATATATATATTTTTATCTTATATATTCTCAACATATATATATATATATATATATATGTATGTATATATATATCCGTAATATAACCCCTCCCACAGTGATTTGAAGGTAAAAGTGACACGAAGAGGCTGAATATCTCTATGACTTAAAATATATCTTCTTCCACTGAGAGTAAAGGGAAGTTACACATCTTCTGTATCATTAGCACTTCAGTATATACTGTATATTCCACTGCATATGAACAGATACTGCTGTTCCAAGGTTTCAACCCGCAAACAATCCGTGTTTCTTTAGAAAATATGTGCTTAATGAAATAACAAAAGGAGAAAGGAAACATCTGTGGAAAGGACAAAATTAAACAATATGTATCTAGGGTAAAGTGAATGATTCTGTAGCATAAAAACATTTATAAATCTCAACAATTACAGACACAAGCAAGGATTTTCTACACTAAGCAAGTTTTCACCTGGCTTTTCTCATACATTATATTTCAACAATAATTAAAAACAACAATTTTGGTTGGACAAATAGAAATTAACAGTCTTGATTGCATTTTGGAGTCAATATATAATATTAAATAACAAAAACAAAAAGTCTAATAAAAAAGTTGCTCATTGGAAGAAAGACACAACAGTTTTTATATAGTTCCATTCAGACCCGCTTTTGGGGAAGCGAAGAAACATAAAAAGAAAATTATTTTCATGAACACAAACTTAAGTGCATGTCTATGAGGCGCCATAGAGCTTCACTTTTTGTGGAACAAAGTGTTTTTCTACCTGGCAGACCTAAAAATAAAATAAAAACAAACTTACATCAAATTAAACCGATGACATTTTGTATACCTTTTACATGAGAAAAATGGAGTTCTTTCAGACTTTAAACATCACGCATCATGATTTTTCTGCACACTTCTTCCCCCTCACAACCAAGGTTCAAGTGATTCAAAATATATATATATATTTATATATACTGTATTTACTATATAACTCAGTACCAAATATAAACAAACGTATACAGGTATTGATGTCCACTTAGGTCCTCAAAACGTCAATTACAAGTACTGCCGGTAGTTCTACAAAATGGTATTTGTGTGTGTGTATGTGTATGTGTGTGTGTGTGTGTGTGTGTGTGTGTGTGCATTAAATAAAATAAAAAGCTTAAAAACAATGGCAAAGCATACCTGATAGTCGCCGTAGCACAACAGTGTTCTATAGTTTGAGCTGATTACATATGTATAACTGAGTCAGTTTAAGCTTTATGATTATAAACATCATATATAGCCTGTAGGTCCAGTATTCTGCGACAAGCATTACAGCACCAAACGTTTCATCATTTGGCAAAATTCAAGCTTTAAGTGAAAGTCAAATGCTTTTGTTTAATAATAAAGTGTTACTGTGACGCCGTGATTTGTATAAAGCTAGCAATAACATTTCCCCTTGTACTTTCGCTTTTTTTTTTTTTTAAATTCATCTTTTTCCCGCTTAACAAAAAACCTCACGTTGTCTTTTTTTTTCTTTTTAAAGCGTATTCAGTAGTTTTTGTTTCCTGCTAAATCTTGGTGTGCGGTCTGTTTGGCACAATATCGCAGCCCTCTTAAATTAATCATAAATATGGCTGTGATACATTAGAGTCACAAAACAGATTTTTTGGTTCCAAGATTTGTGCAGGGAAAGAAAAAATAGAAAAAAAAAAGAATATAATAATATTTAGCGCATCTAAACAAGATCTACAGAGCAAGTTAAAAATCTTCTTGTGGACAATAATGCTCTTCTTCTGTGTACTTCTACAAGCACCAAGCAATATACGTTCAGATTGTGCAGAAAGCGACAGCCATTACTGTGCCTCTGCCTGCAGACAAAAACAACAGAAATTAAAATTATAGCATTTGATAAGACCATAATAACCTCTCTTCATAAATTAAATAATTAACATTTCACTTATTTTTTTTAGATGATTGGCCTACCCCAACTCTACTATCACCCACCTACCCAACTTTCCCCCGAAAAACAGGAAATAAAAGCACATCACCAAAAACCTGATTTATCATATTATTCGTCATTATTAATCTTTCTCTTGTGGGCGCTGGGCCCAGAGTTGGACACATTTTAACAATAAGAAAATCTGTACATCTTGGAGTTCCCATTTTACCAAAGCTTTTTTTTTTTTAAATCCATCTCTTTGTCGTATACTTGCACAATTAAGTAACCTCAAGGTTTGATAGCACTTTGGAGTTGATTGTTTACCAGCTAAGTTTTTGTATACATATATATTAAACATCAACTTTTTTTTATTTTGTTTCTCAAGCTTGTTAAAATTCTTAGTCCTCTTCTGGGGCAGCACCGGAGTTGCCCTCACCCCAATTTGATTGGTCGTTGTCGGTGGGTTCCTCCCCCTCCAGGTCCTCTCCATCCTCACCTTCGAAGTCTTCATCGCGAGGAAACTCCATGCCCTCCATAGCCTCCAGGCCCTCCTGAGTGGCCTGGTGAGAGTCGGCGCAGTCCGCACACACGCCGTAGCGCCGCGAGCCGTGACGGATACCAACGCTGGCCGCAAGCATAAAGATCTTCTTGCACACCATGCATTTGTACTTTTTGTCCTTCTTGTGCACCTGAAAGAGACGGGGGGAGAGGAGGAGAGAGTTGAGTTGCGCTTATTTGCCTTCTTCCTGAGAGTTAGATGAGAAGATTGATACCACTCACGCATCTGTACACCAAATATGATGCTAAGGCTAGCAGTCAGTTAGCTTAGCTTAGCATTAAGACTGTAAGCAGGAGGTAACACTGAATTGTTCGATAATTCTTTCACCCAATTTTTATAAGCATAAGATATAGCGTGTTCATTTTAGCGTGAGTTTTAGAGCTATTAGGCAGATAGGCAAGTCGAGCTACACCAATGATATAAAATTATATATATTCAAAATATCAAGCATGGAGCAAGAAATAAGAGGTAGTACAGTTGCATGTTTGGCCATTCTATTGAACTATTAAATCTAACAGTGTAACAGATTACATTTTCTGCTTGAGGTTTCAAGTTTTGCTGCCAGTACAATGATATAACCTCCTGATTGGAAGTAATGAGAGGGAGTCTCTCAAATCCATTTGTTTTGTACCACTTTGTGACAGACTCTTAAGATACTCCCTACATTAGAAAATGGATATCATAGCCAAAAATCTCGGCTTTGCACTCACTCCCTTGCACAGAAAGCTGCCAGACACAGTCCGTGAGGTGCAGTGCAAAGATGTGAGGGTGGACAGAACGCTGTAGTGTTTGGCAGAAGATGGTGGGTGTGCATCACGTGGTGGTAAAAGAGAGGAGAGGATCCTGTGCATATGCAAACTCACCAGGGAATGTCTCTTTACGTGCTCACGGCGGGTGAACAGCTTGCCACAGATGTCGCAGCTGAAGGATCGTACGCCCGAGTGGATGATCAGGTGCCTCTTGAGCGTGCGCCGGTGCTTGGCGATGTAGTTACAGTGGGGGCACTTGAGCTTATTGAGGGCTAGGTGTGAGGACTCGCCTGGAGAGAGAGAGAGAGAGAAAAACACCAGGTCAGCAACAGACAGATTTAATATCATCATGTTTTAGTGCAAGATTTAAAAAAAAAACAACTGTATGTTCTTAGTGAAGTTGTAATTTGACTGGAATTTACGTAAACAAACTGGACATGGAACAAGACAATGCTAATAAAAGCTACATTTGCGTCTATAGAGGGGAACCAATATCCTGTTTATCAAATCACAGAGTTAGGATGCGGTAACCATTAGAGAGAATAAGAAACCACAAACTGATGTATCACAGAAAGCCTCTTTAGTGAAAGATTGCTGCAGAAGTTTGTTAAACTGATTACTGTGGCAGCCATGTAAATTTCACTATGCAGCTCTGTCCCCGTTGCTAGGTAACTGGTGCTTGTCTGCACCAGGCTGCAGTGATGTTGGAGGACTCACCATGGCAATTTTGGAAAAGGAAACAGATTCATATTAGCAGTGAATGTAAAGCAGCAACATGAATCTGTCATTGTACTACATGGACGTAATAATGCAGTTTGGCGTACTAAAGGAAATAATTGTTATTAGTATAACTGTTGGGATTGCCTTCGATTGCCATTCAAACAATGAAGGTATAACTTATAATTTAGGGAATCAGCCAATTAGGAAACTGTCAATTTGCAGCTAAACCTGTAAGTCTGAAGCAATTTTCCACTAAACTGCTAAAGAGCACATGATTCAGGATATTTTTCATAATATACGATTAGCGACACCGAACATAAAAAAGTAAAAAAAAAAAAATGCATCAAGAAAAGAGAAAAACACCATTATGTATCATTCCTACTGTACTAAACAAATACAACATATGATATAAATTGTTTTTATTTCAGTTTGTGAAAGAAAGAACTCAAGATGTCCTTGCTGCAGCACTGTCCTCATTAAACCTCCTGAGATGTTTGTGCTAACAACCTACTGAGGGCAGCTGGGCTTACAAATAAATAAGCAATCTATTGATTTTGAAAAGGCTCAAAACAGAGTGCTAGTCTGAACCGCTGAGAGAGGGGTAACAGGGCTGGGGCCTTTTGTTTGAACCAGGGAGCACACAACAGAGGCGTTGTCAGGGCAGGTTGCTAGGGGGAGGAGGGGGGAGAGGGGGAGGTTGATGAGAAGCAGGTCACCTGTGTATTCCCGGGGTGTGTGTGTGTGTATATATATGTGTGAGAAGCACCTTGTGGAAGTGCAACAGGCTGTTCATTTAAGCTTCAGAGGTTTAGGATAAAATTTCATTTTCACAATCTGTCATTATAAAGACAGAGCAGGCGAGGAATTTGCCTCAAAACTATTAATTAATTAACTAATCATTATTCAAAAAAGAAGAAAACAACCTTATTTTATCATTTTTGTTCTATAGTTTTGGATATAACCTCACTAGCCTGGGACTTAATCTGACTAAAGTCCCCCCTCATGTCTTTTAAGCTCTTGTCTTAACCCACAGCTCCACACATCCATGCAATGGACACCGATGCAATCAAACTGTGACTTCATGCCAGAAGACTGAATTTCCAAAGATTTAACTTTTGTTCTCAAAGCTTTTGTGAATTTTTACAGCTGTGAGCAGGTCCTCCGTCTCCTCTGCGCAATGCATTGTGGGAAGGTGGTGTCCAACAACAAGCACACTCAAAAAACCAAGTGGTGTAAATTTTCGTATGCATGATGTCATTCTTGAGTATACTTCATTTTGAACACACACATCCAAATATGCTTAGAATAAGTGTGCAGTGGGGATTTGGGACACAGCCTAGTGTACTGTAGACAATGGACACCTATCTTTGTGACGCACCGGCTTCTCCACCCTCACTTCAGGCAAATTTGTGGTCTATATAAATATAACTGATGTTACCCATTAATGCCCTGACCATGAGGATAACGTAGATCATAAGTTTATGTAAAAGGGTCCTGCAGCTCAACTACGCATTGAAGCGCAGGTTGAACAGAAATAAGGTGTTTGTCTACTCTCTTAATCAACGAGGCCTACTGACAGGACTGCCCACACTCATTTTGATGCATTTTAGTTAAATATTTCAAGTATCATTCCTGTTCTTTAGCTGTAGTCTAAAGAGTGCGGCGTCTTACCATTCTCCCAGGACTCCCCTTGCTGTAAGTCCTGGATGATGCTATACTGGATCTGATTGGCCAGCTCTGGGAAAGGAGGGGGTGGGGGAAGGCAAAGGAAGCAAGAGGGAGAAAGAGAGATGAGAGGTGGTG